TTTCTCACAGAAGATGCAACTCATAGAGATCAACTATGACATTCATAATCAGAAGCTTCTTATAATAGTGAAATTCTTTTATCACTGATGTCACTACTTCAAGAGCCTTGTGACAGTGATTACTGTTAGAACTGATTATGACAGCTTGTAACAGTTTACTTCAATTAAGAAACTCTTGCAGCAGTAGATTCACTGAGCTCAGAGACTGAGTGAGTTCTGATTCAAGATAGAACATATCAAGAGAACTAAGAACTCAGCAGACAGACTCTCTCACAGATCAGACTATGTTAAGAAGATCAGAGTGACAGATACAGAGAGACTAGAGAAGACAGAAAAGCTTCACAGAATACTCAGACTGAGTATTGTGAAGAGATTGACTGAAGAGTCTCTCAATCTCTTATAAGAGAAGAAGAAGAAGAAAGAGAAGAAGTCTGTACAACTACTCTCTATGACACTGAGAGTCAACACTCTGAGAATCTCTGTGAGAATTCTTGAAGAGAGTATCTATAATCTGAAGAGTTTGTAAGCTTTGAGAAGTGCTGTGAAAGACCTGATGCAAGAGAAAACAGAGTATAAGTCTTTGTAAGATCTTCTATTCAGATTGTCTGAACTGCAACTGAAGAATGAATATACTCAGCATATTCAGAAACTGCTCACAGCAGGAATCAACTCTGCAGAAATAAAGAATTGAAGAGACTTAAATAATCTCTTATAAAGAGAGAGCTGAATTTATATGTCTGTGAATAAGTTTCTATACATAGAACTTATTAAAAGATATCATGACTCTTCTCTAACAGGTCATTTTACAGACACTAGAACTTATAAGTTGCTTGTAAGAAAATACTTCTGACTGAAGATGTGAGAACTTATGAAGAAGATAGTGAATTCTTGTACTGTTTATCAGAGTTCATGAATAGTGTGATTCAGATTATATAAAGAACTTACTTCTCTACTCATTCTGTGAGAATCTTGAGAACAGCTAGAAATGAATGCTCTTGTAAGCCTCTCTGAAAGCAAGAACATATATAATACCTGCTTTGACAGTGTGCTGATGATAGTGAATTACTTTATTAAGATGACACACTTTATACTCATCTGCAAGAACTTAAAGTTAAAGAATTTAACTCACATCTTCATCTGCAATGTGATTCAGTTGCATGAGTTATCTATGAATATTGTCTCAGACAGAGAATTAATCTTTATAGAAGAGTTCTGATCTGATCTGATGACTATACTAAAGATCTTACAAGATCTAAGCACAGCTTTTTATCAACAGACAGATGATCAGATAGAGTATCTGATAAGTATATTAAAACAGTATCTGCAGTGCTTTGTCAATTATAATCAGAATAACTGAGTATATTGATTATCACTTACAGAGTTTGTGTACAACAACTTAAAACATATCAGTACAGATAAAACCCTCTTTAAGATACTCACTGAGACTCATCTGTGAATGATCTTGATGAATCTGCAAGAGTACACTATAGAGTGTAATGATGCTCATGAATAGGCTGAGAGAATTCAGAAGATTCAGGAGAAAGTCTGTGAATTCTTGAGAAAGACTTAAGAGTATCAGAAGAGATACTATGACTTCAAGCATATTGTGAAGAGTTTTAAGAAAGATAATAAAGTCTGACTGAGTCTAGAAAATATCACTATACAGAGATCTAGTAAGAAGCTGAATCTCTTACAGACAGAGCCTTATAAGATTATGAAGAAAGTTAGCTTACAGTTCTACAGATTAGAACTGTCATCTGATTTACAGATGTATAATGTTTTTCATATCTCTTTACTCTGTGAATATAAGAAATTCTCAGAAGAGAACTCTGTGACTCATCACTCTATTCATAAAGCACTAGAGAGTGAAAGAGAATATCAGATCAAAGAGATTATTAACTCAGAGAAGTGAGGTTGTGAGCTCTGATTCAAGATTCAGTGATAAGAGTATTCTGACAAGATGAATGAGTTCACTTGAGAATCATTCAAGCAGATAAGACATCTGCAGAAGCTGAGACATGACTTTTATATTATAAATTCTGATAAGTCAGAATAATGCAGTCTTTGCTAAGAACCTGATTATAATAAAGATATTAACACTGTCATTTATAAATTCTAGTCTATAAGATGATGAGTTTCTACTGAGATGAACAGTCTACAGTGTATATAAGAAAAGAAGAAAACATATTCTTATTAAAACTAAAAAATAAGAAAATAAACAGAGCTGTGAATATAATTTAGAGATCAATAAAGAAAAAATAAAGAAAACTCACACTTATATTATTAATATCTATAACACTTAATCTCTTCACAACTATCAATTTCTCTCTTCAAAGAAGCAGAAAGCATCATATCTGCAGTACAGACAATTATTACATTTAATATAAAAGCTATCAGAAATGCACAGACTTCAGAGAAGTCAGATATCAGAGCACACACAGTTGCAGCAGAGTCTTGAAGACTGACTATCTGCATGTGTGATCAGATATCTCTTGTAAAGCTGTGTTCACTCTCTCAGTTATGCTGAAGTATTCAGCCTGAAAACAATGAGAATACAGAGAGAGAGCTCATCTGCTCAGATCAACTCTCATTATAAATTCATAACATTCACATTATCTTGATTACTCAGATTTTACAGGTACTCAGAAACTCATCTCTCATTAACAATGAGATTGCAGAAATGTGCTACAGTGTGAGAATCATTGATAGAGAATCTAGACATATTCACATATACCTGGTCAGAGATTGTGCAGATAGAAGAGAAGTGATTATAGGTCTGTAAGACTGCAGAAGACACTGATAATATCAGAAGCTTTACAAGAACTGTTAACTAGAGTCTGTAAGAAATTACTTATAAGAAGACTTATAGTAAAGAGAGAGACTACACTGCTTAAAGTCAGAAGCTGATCTGAGAAAGAAATGAAGTGAGTCACTGATCTGAAGATCAGATACAGTGACAGAGCTGAAAGAGATGAAAATACAGTTATAAGTAGCAGCACTCTCACTTCATCAGCTAGTAAAAAGTGATCAGAGAAGTTGTGAGAATGCTTATAAGAAGCTCAACAGTGATCAGATATTATTTATAAAGATATTAAAATTAAAAAATTTTTATTCTTGAGAAGTTCTTGAATTAATATATAGATATTATTAGAAACACTCTCTCTCTATTATCTGAGTGAAAACACTTTGTAAATAAATGAGAATACTTACAGTTTGTAAGAATGAAAGCTGTTACAGAAAAAGAGAAAAGAAGATAAGATTCTACAGACAGATCTGAGATATTTATACTACTCTAGAGAGATTTGCTTACACTGTAAGTGATTTCATAGAACAGTCAGATCACTCTAGTAAATAAGAGTGATTATAAATCACAGATCTAAATCTTTTTATATGACTATAAAGAGTAATTGCAGACTGTGAACATCTTGATTCTACAATTCTACAGAGTTAATAAAAGAATGAAAAATTCCTCACAATTCTACAGTGTCAAAGAGCAATGATTTGTAAGAATAAATGAAAGATTAACTCATAAATGTTTCTCTTTGATAAGAATAATCTCATAGAGAGTGATTTATCTGTAAGATGAATCTGTGTAATGATTATATAAGAATCTTATAAAAATGATTGAGAGTCAATCAGAACTCTTCTATATAAAAGATATAAGATGAATCTGTATAATAGTCAGAGAAGAATCTGTAAATTACAAAGAATCTCATGAAATAAGAAATTGAGTAACAGACTCTTTTCTCTTCACAGTAACAAGGAATTTTTCCTCACTGAGATTTTTTATAGATATGAAGAGTTTTTAGTAAGTATCACTACAGTGCTGAGCTGACTATGAAGTCACTCAGTGAAAGACTTTATAGATGAAGCTTTAGAGAGAGAGAGATATGTAAGAAATTCTACTTCTCACAGATTCTTTATCTCTATTTCTATCTCTTATATAATCAATAGAGCTAGTGACTCTTGACTATATATAACTATATAGACTGAAGTTCATAAATACTATTTACAACTCAGCTTGAATACTATTATACATTTAATCTCTATATTTATCTTTCTACTGTGAACACTTCTAGTAGTTAACAGTACATATCACACCAAGCTGCAAACATCTGAATAATCGCCTGTGAGTACTTATTCTTACAATTTTCACTTTTATCTATCTTCATTCACTTAACTTCATACTGAAGTCTTATAATTTCTAGTCTTATATAAGTCTTCTCACTCACAGAGTTATTGTTATTCTAATTACTTAAGCTTCTTACATTATCTGATATCTCACTAATATCTTTAATCAGATCTTTATATATATTAAACTCATCAGACTGTTTCTCTGTAATAATTTTATTCAGCTTAAACATCTCAGAAGTCATCTTTCAATTTGTTATTAATATTAGCAGTGATCTGTAATCTTGCATTTACTGCTCTGATGTTTTCTCATTTCTCTGTCTTGAAGACATGTATTCTTTTGTTAAGTCAGGTGTTCTCTCAGATCTTAGATTAATCATGAGTTCAATCACTTAATAAATCATCTAGGCACGCTTGTAACAATGCATGAAGATGTCAATTGACATGTTATTTCAGCGGTTTTCATTAGCTTAATAAGGGCTTCATAACCTCTTGAAGAATAATGTTGTTGTGTTGTGTTGTAATCTAACTACGCGAGTTACACTAAATGAATAGGTTGGGGTGGCACGTGACTAGGGTAGGTGTAGTAATCACCAACAATCTCAACTCCGGCTTCCCCGCATGTCATCAATGTCATGTGACATCTCTAATCTGAACCACCACAAGGCAGACTCAATTTGTGTTTGGTGCAAAGATCCCCCAAGCACCTCAGCCCTTTCTGAGCTTCTACAAGTTTTGTTTGTAAAGGATTGGAAAGGGGTAAGTCTAGTGGGCTTTGTTTCAGGCTTAACTACTGGCTGTCTGAGGCAATATTGCCTTGACTACATTGCCAACCTAATGAGTTTCTTTCTGGACATCTCCCATGTGGTTCAGACAGCGGTTGTTCTCTCTGGGGCCCAGAATCCTTCTGACTTCACGCGCGGCTGGAACTCCAATTCCTGAAACACTATTCGGTCTTTCTGCTGAAGAGCAAAGCTGCGGACTTTGTCTCGAATTGCGGGACTGGCTGATGCTGGAATCACAGTCAGAGTGGCGCGGACTAGGTGCAATGCATTTCTTACCTGTTACAAATATCTTCCCCGGCCATCTTTCCAACTCCCGTGCAAGGACGTCTTTTGTGGACGCTCTTCCACGGTTCACTGTACCGCGAGTTCCCCTGCTGAGTCCACAGTTGGCCACGCATCAAAAAGTCCTCTGGCAGATGGCGGTAGCCACCACTCTCACCACTTTCTGACACAGGGAAATTGTCATTTTTCAGCCTGAGTTCATTTACCCCTTGCCAATTCAGTGTGTTGAGGAAAGTAGCCAGGGCTTGCCAGGGAACCTCTGACTGAATAAGCATCATGGACTCAGGGACCAAAGCCAGGCTTCAGAGAAACGCCAGGGATACATGGACATGGGGGAGTATGTTCTTATCTCCAATGTGCTTGAGGATGAAGGAGAGGACATGAAAGGCAAAGCAAGAGGCATAGGAAAGAGCTTCAGTAAAGACAGCACTAGGGTCAGAGAGGGAAAGACAAGAGGGAATTTTGGTATCAGAAGACAGCTGGGAATAGTGTGTTTTTGCAGCTTCAATCCGCCTTGCTTGAGGCTCATTGAATTCCGCTGCTCGAGCAAAGAAAGCAAAAATAGGACTACTCTCACTGCCGTACTCTAGCATGGCTGAAATATTAGCAGAGGCCACATAAACACCTTGTTCCCGCCATTTGGCACCCACCCGACCAATATGGGTTCCAAGAAGAGACATGAACTCATGGCCACAAGAGAGAAAAGAGAGGACAGAGAGCCGGCAAAAACAGTGTCCATGTGCTTTGACAAAATATAACATGGCTGGGGGGTAATCACTAATTGATTCCTGGGCCAAAAGAGGCTTGAAAAGAAGCAGGATGCTCTCCCTGGTGTTTGGAAAGGACTGGATGCAAACCAGGGATTTGGTGTAGAAGAAAAGCTGCTGGAGGAAATTGGGCCTAGACAAGACAGCAAGATGATGCTGAATTCTACCCACATTAGGGCTTTTATCAGCAGCTTTGTTATATCAATATCTTGCCACGCCTGCTCAAACCTCTCTATCCTGCAGGTTCACTTCCTCAAGTGCCATTCTGTATCTGCCAAGATCTCCAAGACATTCAATCCAGGTATTCTCAAAGCTAGGAACGCTCTCAAGCAGTAGGGTCATCATTGAATAGGCAGTATATATGAATGCCAGCATGTAGTCCAGCGAAGCAGGGAGTCTGTGTCTCAAGAACTTCAAGAAAGAATGAATTCCATGGGTCCACATCCTGGCTGGCATAGCATACTTGCTGGCTAATCTTTGAAGTGCCGGGCTGGCAGAGGGATGCTGTGAGGCCAGAAAAAAGTCGTGATGCTCGTGAAGCAAGGCTCTGTGAAGACCAATAAGAGCCTGCCATTGCTCAGTATTCAAATTTCCCTTGTTTTTGACCTGTTGTTGATCAATCTCAACGCATTTCTTTTCCACAAGGACAAGGCCAGCATAGATTCCGTGAACTTCATTGATGAGTTGCTCCTCAGTGATTCGCCGGGTCTTTGGTTGAAGGGACAGGGTGTTGACTGGCGCTGGAGAGTCCACTGGGGCAGGAGAGGTCCTGCTGGACAATGCTACCACTGTGGGATCAAAATCATAAGCTGGGTGGGTGCCATGATGTACGCGATCTGCATGAAGGTCTGGGATGTAATGGGTAGGCTTGGGCCTTGTCCGCATGAAGACCTCATGGCAAAAGGGGGGATTTCCTTGGTCTGAAACGCTGGCCGGACGCTTTCTTGATCCTCGGGAAGTCAGGGACCTGTCGCGGAGCCGGAGGTTTTTCAAATTGGGGGCTTCGGGAGTAACAGTGGCAGAGCTACTCAAAGACAATTCTCATTAGCTACTAGTAGCCACCCACACAAGGCCAAGCCAACACAGCAAATATGACCTACAGACTTTGCAGCAATCCGCTCGCTGCTGATGACTGGAGTCCAGTACGAGGAGGTGCCCGGACCGAGTCGGCCGGCTGGGTAGGAGAGGTAGATAGCATTTGTAGGAGTAAAGTGTTGGTTTGGGGGAGGAGGGAAAGGCAGGTGGTTCACTGGAACAATAACATAGATGTATGATCTGGATGGTGACAAGAAATGTGTTCATTCATATATTCATCCTCCTGACAGCGTCGCGTAGTCTTTGATCTGCCAACCCCTGGAGGCAAGCTCGCCGCCTTTTGCGAACCACAGTGACATGGTGGCTTGCCCAAAGTTTCCAGTTTACTCTTTCTGATTTGTCTGAAAGTGCCAAGATGCTCTGAAATCAAGCCGCGTTTCCAAGTAGCAAGGCAGCAAAAAGTCTCAAACTAAAATGGCAATGCGTAGGTGGATCAGAAGGCAGCCTCAGTTGTCCAGGTTGGGCCCGCGGGGACATCATTTATGTACAGAGTAAATCTTTGCTTTCCGGGCGGCGGCGGGTGCCTCGGCTGGTTCGTAGTGGATTAATGGACAACATTTCTTATCTACTGTCACTCAATCAATCGAGACTTCTGGATTGATCAAGGGACATGGCATCATGTGCCTGGTTTTTTCCCGTCAAGCTGTATTTCTGGGTTCAAGGCAACAAGAAAGCCTGAACAAAAATAGCAATAAAGAGGCAGGTGGAGCATAAACATATCATTCTCCTCACAGTAATCCAGAGTCTTGTAGGTGCGGTGAGATCCATGCCCATCCCCTATAAGAAGAGAGTATCTCCCTTTATGGCGCTTTTGCGTGAATCGATTGAAATGCTGGATTCATTGGAAGGCGATTCCATTGTATGCTCTCTCACCCAGCCTTCTTATCCAGCTCATCCGATGTTGAATCATCTTCTTTGCTTCCTCCTTGTTGTTGGTGTAGAGTGTCATATCTCCGCTGGGGGTTGTTTCCGGACCGCGATAATCTGGATATTCTTCAGGTCTGAATCCTCATTGTCTTTAACTGGTGGATTCGCTCGGAATTGTTCTATAGCATTGATATCTGCTTGTATTTGATTTGCATGGTCGCGTATAATTTGGGGCTGGAGGCCCACCTAGGGTGCGGATTGGCTGCTCACCATACTTTCTTGGTATTGGGCGATACCTAAAGTTCGGGCGAGCAGATTGGGCCATAGTATGAGTCAAATAGATCAGTGGTTGTGAAGATATTTCAAAAATTCAGTTGAATGAGATTGTTTTCACCCTTTGGGGTTTGATCGATTGATGATTGATTGATTATGTCATCGCCGTCCCACCCGCCCCGTCAGCAGCTATACAGGTGTAGGCTACTGGGGCAAAAGAGTGTAGGCTACTGGGGCAAAAGAGCTCAATCACCACCAGCGCCTGCTGGTAGAAGGGCCGACCAACCGCGGGACCCCCAACACCCCCCCTCGGACCAGCTACCACAGAGTACAGTACTTCCCCTCAGTGGCTCCCTTCAGTGGCCTCCCCACAATGGCTCCTTTTTAATAATGGACTGGACCACTCAGTCCTAGGGCTTAATGGGACTTCTAGGGCACACTCCTGGGATGTCTCTTGGCACTGTTAAAATGTCCAAGGGTATTTGTTAGGAATTTTTTAAGTCCATTCTGGGATCGAACCCATGCATGTTGACCACAGCGGGGCTCACGCTCAACAGTCTCATAACCTGTAGGCTACTGGGGCAAAAGAGCTCAATCACCACCAACGCACTGCTGGTAGAAGGGCCGACCAACCGCGGGACCCCCAACACCCCCCCTCGGACCAGCTACCACAGAGTACAATACTTCCCCTCAGTGGCTCCCTTCAGTGGCCTCCCCACAATGGCTCCTTTTTAATAATGGACTCAGTCAGTCCTAGGGCTCACGGGACTTCTAGGGCACACTCCTGGGATGTCTCTTGGCACTGTTAAAATGTTCAAGGATATTTGTTAGGAATTTTTAAGTTCATTCTGGGATTGAACTCATGCATGTTGACCACAGCGGGGCTCACGCTTAACGGTCTCATAACCTGTAGGCTACTGGGGCAAAAGAGCTCAATCACCACCAACGCACTGCTGGTAGAAGGGCCGACCAACCGCGGGACCCTCAACAACAGGCATGTTGGTGATTACTACACCTACCCTAGTCACGTGCCACCCCAACCTATTTAGTGTAACTCGCGTAGTTAGATTACAACACAATAACATTATCCTTCAAGAGGTTATGAAGCCCTTTGTAAGCAATGAAAACTGCTGAAATAATGTGTCAACTACATCTTCATGTATTGTTACACATGTCTAGATGTCTTTTATTAATTAATTAAACTCATGATGAATCTGAGATTGAGTGAAAAGTCTGACTTAACAAAGAATTACATATCAATATATAGAAGAAGAAATTCATAAATATTTAAAGTATAAGAAGAATTGAATATGAGTTTATTAATATCTACAATGAATTGAAAAGTAACTGTCTCAGAGATATTTAAGCTGAATGAAATCATTACAGAGAAACAGTCTGATAAGTTTAATAAATATAAAGACTCAGTTGAAGATATCAGTAAGATATCAGATAATACAGAGAGTTTAAGTAATTAAAATAACAATAGCTTAGTAAGTGAGAAGACTTATATAAGACTTAAAATTACAAGACTTCAGTATAAGATTGAGTAGATAAAGATCAGTAGAAATAACTCTGTAGATGATAAGATAAGAGTAGATCTGACAGAATATCTTTAATAGAAAGAGAAGACATCTGTTATAATAAAAGTTCTTAAAGAATTTAGAAGTTAAGTAAGACTTATTAAAAGACTGATAGTTCTCACTGAATTTATTAACTACTTAATATAAAGAGAGAAAATTCTTTTAACTATAGAGTAGTCTGAAATCAATAATATTCTTAAAGATAATAATCTTGATAAGAATATTATTATAAATATATAATATTTCTGAAAAGAATACAATCTTTGATTATATAATTATATATGATCTGCAATTACTCTGCAGGTCAAGACTTATTTCACTATACTCAAGAAGTTTAAATTATCAGCTTATACTTTATAAACTATTATAGAGAATAACTTTTTCAAGAGATCTGCTATATACAGAACTCATTTATTTAAAGAGCTTATTAAAATAATTTTTAAAAGTAAAGAATTTAACAGAGCTTTCATTGAATATCTGATTATTATAAGAATTAATTATATTTATCTAGAATATAAGATTCTGAATGTTGTGTTTTTTAACAGACTGCTTACAGAAGTCAACAGAGATTGAGTCTTATTTATAAGAAATTGAATGAATTAAATTGATAAAGATAATACTTAACTCTTAGAGAATGATTTTATAAGTCTGTACTATAATATTCTTTTATAACTCTCTGCTATGAATGAAGCAAATACTGATATGTCTAGAAATTCTATCAATAATGTACAAGATAAGAATAAGAAAGACAAGAACAAAGAGAAAGATAATAACAAGAATAAGAACTGTAAGAAATCCCGCTTCTCATAGATTCTTTACTTCTATTTCTATCTCTTACATAATTAATAGAGCTAGCAGCCCTTGGCTACACACAACTATATAGACTGAAGTTCACAAATACTATTCATAACTCAGCTTAAATACTATTATACATTTAATCTCTACATTTTATCTTTCTACTGTGAATACTTCTAGTAGTTAACAGTACATATTATATCAAGCTGCAAACACCTGAATAATCATCTGTAAGCACTTATTCTTATATTTCAAACTCAGTCAGTCAGCAATCACTTATTATGACTGAAAGAACTAGAAATTTATATACTTCAATCTCTGTAAACTCTACTACAGACACTCAGAAGTAGTCATCTGAATTATAAATAATCTCTATAAAAGAAGTCTCAGAGAACTTATTAATCACTTATAAGATATTATTCTCTGTATCTATAACAGAGAAACTCTTCAAACTTATAAATAAATCAATCTCAGTGAAGAACATTCTTGAGTATCTCTCACAGAATTAAGTTATTTTTCTACAAGAAATACTTACTATTTATAAACACTCTCAAACTGAGTTTCTAAACATAATCTTCAGAGACATCTATGAATTAAAAAGAAACTTTCTTAAGTTATAATTACTTAAAATTACTTATTAAATCACAATCTATAAAAGCTTCTGCAAGTTTGTATTTAAAATTGACTTATATTATTATTATTATTATTATTCTTCAATTATAGATGTATGCAGTCAGAGACTATGACATCTACCTGAGAACTTTAGTTCTCAGGGTTTTTTCTATGTCTGTAAAGTTAACTATTGTACATTCATCAATTTCAGATATGCAAAATCAGAAAATTCCAGCCCAGAATACAAAAACTGTTTACAAATTGCAGTGTTTTAACCTCTTTTGATACTTTGTAACCATTTGACAATATCATGACAAAAGAAAAGAGAGAAAGAACACAGTCTCAAAGATAGACACATTAAATAGATAGATAGAAAGAAATTGAAAGAAAAAGATACAGAAAAAGAAAAAGTAAAGAGAGACTATAACAAAACAAATTCTTAAAAGAGAGTGTATAGCTGTTTTAACAGACTATATCTGATTGATTTCCTCCTCTTCATATTCAGATAATTCTGAATTTAGCCATTTTCTTGTAGCTGCTTGAGTTTCTGATAGAAAGTCTATTAAGTATTTAATTCCTGTCTCAGTTGAGAATAAGAATCTCATATTTAATTGATTTAGATCATACTTCTCTTTCAATCTGGCTCTGAGACTATTGTATAATGCACAGTGCATTATAATATGCTCAGGATTCTCATTTGTATTGCAGAATGAGCATTCTATTGAGTCAAATCTATCATCAAATCTTTGTATATAAGATTTGAAATAGCCATGTCCTAGTTTCAGCTGTATTATAGATGAGAATATTTTCTTTTTACATTTAATTGAACAAGATTTCCACTTGGGTTTTGTTTCAAATCTTGAATAATGTATACTCTTCTTTTGTTTCTGCCAGCTTTCATTCCACTTGTCTAAACAAGATTCTTTTATTTTTCTCTTTATAAAAGACCAGGACACAATTTTTTGAATAGATCTGC